CTAATATAGAAGCACGTGTGAAATCCTTCACTAACTTCTGAGCGTAATCTCTTCAAAAATAAGGCCAATTGTTATCTATCCTCGTATCTTTATTGTCTTCACTTAATACTTCCACTTCTCACACTCGCATCACACACCGGTCTCGGTAACCCTTAACCGTAAGAGGCTCTTTAGCCGTGTATTGAGCGAACTTTAGTAACAAAAAATGCAAATATATTTCATGATGGTCAAGTAAAATTACAATTAAATAAACACTACTATTAATAATAATTGACAATTCTATATCCAAAGATTAAAAAAATGGTTAATGTCGTATTCACTAGAAAATTTTTTTGACAATCGACACCGAAAAAATATCGCCCACTATTAAACTTGAGTAGTCTTTCAAAACCAAACCAGTCAACATTATTTCAAGGTGGTCTGCGATAAAAAAGCAACTGAAATTAAGATTAATTAAACACGAGTGAAAATGTTTCACCTAAAAATTAAACAAATGTTTAATGTAATATTTCCGCGAAACCAAATATCTTACAATCCCCATCAAAAGATATGTTGCGGCTTTAAATGTGTCTGAGCAGGCGTCCGCAATAATAATAATAATAATAATAAGCTGTAAAAAAAAAACAATCAATCTATATATTTCATGGTAGTCCGCGATAAAAAGCAACTGAAATTATGATTAAATAAGCCCTACTGGAAATTAATAATTGAGAATGCTTCATCGAGAAATTAAAAAAAAATATAAAAAACTAAAACTATTCCTATTACTGCTGGACTACGAGAAAATAATTCACTTATTTTACCGATTCAGATTCTGTTGAGGAAACCTTCTCAGACCTGACCAAAAAAGTAAGCAAAAGAAAATTCTTAGTTCTCAAGGACTCATTTGGATCCCCATCAGCACGATGACCGGTAGTCCAATCTCTATATGCCATGTGCCCTCGGGACGTAGACTATCATGGGTCTCCACAACATCCTGTTCCTTATAGCTCTTAATAAATTTTGTCTTTCTTGTATTTATCCTAAACACTCTTTATTCAAGTTCATTATGTTATGCGTTGTTTTCCTCTGCTTACCTTGCCTTCAATCTATACGATTCGTATCAGATTCTCCAAGCCGACTTTCCTCATTATGTGCCCCAGAAATCTCAAATGTCTCTTCCTGATATTAAGAATAAGTTTCCTTTTTGTTTTCATTTCCTCAAAAACTTCGTTGTTGTTCACATGTTCGGTCCATGGTATATTTAGCATCTTTCTGTAGAAGCACATTTCTTTTGCTTCTAGTGTCTTTTTCACCTTTTAGGATATTGTCCAGCAATCAGTGCCACACAGAAGTGTCCAATCACGTTAAAGAGATTTCTACCTGATCCCAAAAAACGTTGGTGCGAAAACATTCAAACACGACCCACACCTGTGTATCGCCGACCTAATCAAAACCAAAGGGCAAATGGCAAAAACCCGCTAGGAACTCGTGACCATTCGTGTTTGAAGTAGCCTGTGACGTGACTTAACTTGCAGCTACTTTGTTTCAAATCCGAAAACGACTGAGCTTATCTCAGTTGATATAATGTTGAGCTGGGGAGTGGTGGCAATGATTGAGTTTCAAGTTTTCGTGACGAAGAGACTCGTATTGCAAGTTTGATTGTGTCTGCTCGTGACGTACCGAGATTATTCTTTCGTTTGTTTTTCTCGAGTCTTCCTCTTTCCAAATGGGACATACTTTTTTTTATTTTTACTAGGAATAATGCTAAGTAAATACTAAGTATTCATATCAACAGTGATGATATGAACTTGGACAGATTCTGTTGCTTTTCTTTTTATGTTTCAATTCGAAGTCTGAACAAGTTTGGAAGCATTGTGATTCGAACTGATGATGAATATGAATAGATATGTATCGATTTTTGCGACGGACAATCAAAAAATAGACAGACAAACAAATAGAGAGATAGGAATTTTGTAAATGTGGCACAAACAAGGTTATTATATTTTTTTTAAAAATAGTTTGAAAATAGCTGTTTGTTTAAAATTATCTATCTATCTATCTATCTATCTATCTATATATCTATATATATATATATATATATATGTATATATAAGTTCATTTTTACAGTGAACTCCATAGTGGTCATAGAATATTAGTAGACCTTGGCTCAGTTATAAAGATAAGCCGAAAAGCAATCTTTCTTGCGTCCACATTCCATTCAAAATCTTTCAAGAGGTAGCCATGAAAAGATCTGAGTGTCGTTCCAGCTGCCATTCAGGAATAATGCACCATCAAGAAGTAAACATCAATCGACTATGTGAAACACGAAAACAAAATAAGGTAGCTAACGGTGTTCCTGCTGCACTTGGATACAATACATTCTCCTGTACTGTGTGTGGTCTTTTGTGCAATTCTCTTAGGCCGGTCTCAAAAGTCATGCCCATCATAGGCATGCAGATTATTAGGTCGTGGTCGTCGGAGCCCCATACGTCGTACTAGACGGGGGATCCCATATATATATATATATATATATATATATATATATATATATATATATATATATATGTCATATCTATCCATGTATGTATCTATCTATCTATCTATCTATCTATCTATCTAGGAGACATACCTATCCGCATAAAACTTATCGACATACTATCATTGATATCTATATCAATATATTTATCTATAATGATATACACACAAATTTTTGCAATGGGGTCTTAGATCCATTCATTAAATTATCTTTAATAATAACCAAAACGACTATCCCAACAAAATAATAATAAGAAATTATAATAAGAAATAAATTATTATAATAATCATAATAATTTCAAATCAAATTGGGTCATTATTGGAAGTCAGTATGCGATCATGGAGAATAAAAGTGACATGTGGCCATTAGTCACAGGCACAAGCAAAAATGGAAAAAGGTATTTTTCAACAGGAGTGAATAATTTTCCTACATTCATGCGGTGCGACAGAGTAGCTTGTATTCTTGATTGATGATTCATAACCAGCTCAGCTGCCTGTGTGTCTTGAGGCAATTAGAGATAGTCTTCGTCAGTGCATCGCCGTAGAAACGTCGCAGCTAGCTCGAGACCACCTATTATACCATTCAAATCAATAAATTACCTACAATTTGAGTGATTGATTTTGATTGATTTTTGTTTTGCAGCTTATCAACATTTTATGGGTTATTTAAAGTCAGAAAATATTTTTTTTAATAATATAAGCTTGTAAGATTTTTTGAGAGATAATAAGGATGTACTGATACAAGTCATACTAATTAACCCATGGCTGGGGGAGATGAGGAGGATTCGTACCTTTACCGCGTAAATGAATATAACGAAAGCGAATGGAATTTGAACACGATTCTCCGATTAACAATTACTCCCACATCCAAGCTTACAGAACCTTGTATTCCCAAGCGGTCACTCATCTAGGAACTGATCATGCTCGACGTTGCTTAACTTCGGTGATCGCACAATAATCTGTATTTCAGCGTGATATGACCGTAAGCCTCCTACAATGTGAAGTATATGTCATATAATAAAGAATTGAAGGAAATATTATTGGTTTGCCCACGAATCGAACTCGGCAAATGTAATTTGAAAACATTAACTTTGAAGGTGTTTTGGTGCGCAAGGCTGAATATGGTTCCAAAACTTGATGGAAACGCACTCTGTCTTCTTGATCCATATTTTTTCAAAAATATACTTATGTGAATCTGGATTTAGTTCTCTTTTGTCAAACGATATAAAACCTAGAAATCGCTTGAATCCAGAAGCAGATCTGTGGACCGCTGTCAGCATAAAAATTTCACATTGTAACAAAATCATGAATGCAGGTTTGGTTTGGTCTGTTTTGTTTTACGGTATATCGACCTCAATCAGTTATTTGATGCCGACAGGATTTTTAGGATAGGTTCGTAGGAATAGAATATGTATTCTTTGGTTTAGTCTGGTTTGGTCTATTTTGTTTTACGGCATATCAACCACAATGGGTTATTTAATGCCGACATTTTTAGGATAGATTCGTATGAATATAATATGTATTCCTTGGTTTAAATTGGTTTGCTTTATTTTGTTTTACGGCATATCAACCTCAACGAGTTATTTAATGCCGACAAGGATTTTATTGCTAGTAATATTTTTCCGCAATGTATTGCTGGTATTTTTATTATAATACCTATTTTTATACTTTCATAGTGATTTGACTCCAGTTTAGGTCTTAACTATTTGTCCATAGTTGGGGTCCTAAAAGGTGCTACCACCCCGGGCCAGGGTGGATCTTGGAACAACAGCAATTAAGAGGTGGTTCCACGCTTTTCAAAATCTCTTGATAGGTGGCCTTGCTGCCGGATGTAGTTTATCGTCATACCCAGTACACCGAGAATCAGCAGAAAGAAGTCGAATTTTCTGTTCGTGTTTAAAATTCATTTTACTATTTACGTTTTTTTAAAATTAAAATCGAACTGCTCAATTTATAAGTGCTCTTGTGCAGAGTTAAAAGCTTATTTGTTAAGTTCATTTTGTTTAATCGCAGTAATGAATTTAGCTAACAAATTATAAATTAAACTAAATCACGTGTGCTGTTACTTTTTTAGTGGGTGTGAACTTTGATCAAAATCTTCCTTGAAGGTTGAGGTAACAACGTTTGTCCAGAAGACAAGTGAAAAAGAAGTAGAAGAGGTAAGTGTTCCAGCAGATGACTCACGAAGACAGAACGATTGACTGATTGATTGAATGTTTCTTTTTTACGTCTTATCAACCCATTGCAGGTTATTTAAACCCAGAAAGTATTTTTGAACTGTAAGATTTTTTTTTAGATAATAATTGTTTAGTGATACAAGTGTTACTAATTAACCCATATCTGGAGGGAAAAGAAGTGGATTCATATCTTTCCTAATGATATTTACGCGTAAGTGAATATAACAAAACAGACTGGAATTTGAACTCGGCTCTCCGATTAACAATTTCGAGTCATTATCCATGACACTACTCGTGCATCCAAGCTAACAACACCTGGTATTCCCAAGTGGTCACCCATTTAGGTACTGACTTGGATCGATATTTCTTAACTTCGGTGATCGTACGGGAACAGGTGGTTCATCGTGATAAGACCGTAAACCCCAGGACAGGGCGAAAATAAAACCTGAAAAATATATCAAACTTGTGCGAGAAATGGTAAAAATAACAAAACAGAAACATTGCATTATGGTGATGTATATAGCCATCAATATCTCCATGAATAAAGGGAGACAAAATTAGCCTCGTAAAACGTTGGAGGAACTTGAAATCTGAATAACGGTTAAAACTATTGAGATGACGGCATTACTAAAACCAGCAACAAGAGACTTGCTGTCGCTTGATCTCTACAGATATACACCAATTATTCCCACTGTGAAAGCTCAGAAAGTTCCTCATCATAATAATAGATATTGAATTCATTATAATAAATGATTGATTTACCTCTTTCGTTTTAAATCTTTGGTCAGTATACTCTAATATCGCTTTAATAATAGACTAGCTAGATAATCTTAGTTGCAATCACCTGCTCAGTCACATTTGCGATTCTTCAAAACCGACGATATATTATGACAGATAGCAAAAGTAGACATAAAATATACTTTAATTATAAAAATATAAATTCATTCTAAAATGTACTTACAGTTATGGTAGATACGATTAAGTAGATGAATATGGAATATTTAAGCAAATAAAATTTTTTTTTTAAAATAATTCAATTTATCTGAAGGGTTATTGGAATAACTTGGACCGATTTTAAATGCGAATTAGCTTTAAGCGTCTAATGAATTTTTCTTTTTCTTTCAGATTTAAGAACTTAAGTCTTTGGCAATTTCAACTATGGAAAGAGTAACAATAAAGAAAGGAAATAATAATAATAATAATAATAATAATAATAATAATAATAACACCTCTTCCTATATTTGCGTGTATGCACCTCATGGTTTGTCGCTCCCGCGTCTTTCTAAAGGACGCGGTAATGGTCTTCATGCCTCTTATACCCAATATAGGTACACTTATTCTTCGAGTCTAAATAAGAGAGAGAGAGGGGGAGAAAGAAAGAAAGAAAGAAAGTAAAAGAAAGTTTTTAAGAGATTGTGAGAGTGAATAGGAGAGAAAAAAATTAAGATCTATAAATATCTACCCAGGCGTCATTTAACTAGCCACTCTGCGAAACACATAACAAGGAGGGAACTTTGCAACCTATTTAAGGATAGACAAAAACATTGTGTTGAAAGGTAGAGCTGTCTAGGATCAGGTGGATGTTTAATCGATTGGCTGGGAGTGATTCCGAAAAGAGATTGTGGGTTAAATAAGCGTATTGTGGGTCAAGATGTTTTAGGTTCTTCTCGTCAAATGCCCAGGTTCTTGAGTTCGGCCGGAGAGACAGAATGGACGAATGGATTGTTGGAATAAAAAAAAAAACCCTTGAGAGTAAAGAAAATCATCTGACCAATGCGATACCGTTTATTTATTGGACAACGTATTAACCAGATCAATCATAAGAAGTAGTTTTGTTGATATCCTGGCACTCATTCATTCCTACAAAAAAAGTTTATAGACTATAAGTGCACGCACACACACACACACACACACACACACACACACACACACACATATATATATATATATATATATGGATAGTTCATTTACACCCTAAAGAAAATGGAAACTAATTCCCCAACTAGAAAAACTTATATGATATAATAGACATAACCAGTTTGTTATCTTTAAGAAAACAATACTTGAATATATATATATATTAAGAAATATATTTATTTATAAGAACATTTTATGTTTAACGTTTGTTATTTATGAATATTTATTTAAGCAAAGAACGAATATTTTTATGATAAAACAGTATTAAATAAAATTTATTTAATACTGTTTATCATAAAAGAGAATTTGCTTAAATATTTGTATCTAAAATAATCGGAAATTCAGTCTTTTATATATATATATATATATATATATATATATATATATATATATATTAATAGAGATTCTAGCACTTTATCTCTCTCTCTCTCTTCATATATATATATTTTTTTTCCACACAGACATACACTTACATGAATTAACGTTACCGTACAACATACACATAGACACACAGGTGTATCTTTACTTGCATACTCTTACACTATCACACACTTTAATTTACCGAGAACTCTGTCTTTCGTTTTTTTCATTCCTATTCTCGATCTCTGACAAAGCCTTAATAAAAGTGAAACATGTTAGATTGAAACACATTTCCTCCTTCTTCTTTATTTTATCATCTTGTCGGATTCCTATCCATATCTGATCTAACTTTGATCTTCAATTCATATATATATATATATATATATATATGTGTGTGTGTGTGTGTGTGTGTGTGTGTGTGTGTGTGTGTGTGTATACAGTTTGCATATTTGAATATTTTTTAAGGAAATGCGAATATTTGCAAGTAATTACTGAATTTGCAATATATCTTATTTTGTATTTAATTTTCAATAATTCGTGATTTTTTAAAATTTCGATCTATTATGTTCATATTTATAGATTTTTCTAAATGTGATGTAGTCTAAAATTATTCGCCCCTTTGTGGTAATTATGAAATAATATTGCTCTATTGCAATTTAATACCGGCACCTTTTGGAAATGAAATAGAATTGACCTGATTCTATTACATTCCAGAAGATTCTGAAGAAAACAATATATGATTGTGATGTACGGAGATAACTCATTCGTTCCGCAACCATGGCGGAAACTGATGCACTTGAAAAGAATCCCCGAATTAAGATAGTTATGTACAAACAGATGATGAACATACAGCACTTTCCAAGTGTTTGTAAGTTCTTAGATCATCAATTTAGAACATTATCAAGAATCACAACGGGACACATTGTATTGAGAATAAGTTAAGGACTGGCAGAGAACGGTAAATTTCTGACAGAATGGAAAGACAAATTGTTATTGATGCCTTGAAGAATCCTCACTTGATAGCAAAGAACATTGCCATTTATCCACAGACAGTAGCGTTGATTGTATCATCGAAGACAGCCACTAATTGTCTTCATCGAGCAAGACTTCGAGATTGTCGTCCAAGGAAAAACTCTCTTCTTTAAGTTTTGATTGATTAAGAGAGACCACAGTAAATTTCCTGGTCATTACCACAGTAACTGACTTTAACCTGTTGTGCATGACTCATAGACGCTCGCGTACACTTTATTTGAAAGCATCATAAGAAAGCATCATATCTCTGTACTGAGATGATTCTTTATTTAACTTTGTAGGATGACACACCCAGCGTGAGTTGGGTGTCACATCTAGAAAATTAGGAATAATCTCAATTAGATATTCTGTGAGCGTACTAAGTTACCTGACTAGCAGCTATCTTTTTCTTTTCAAAACCTCTCACTATATCGCGTTCACATTTGGCTGTAATGTATGTACCCGCTATACACATCAGACTGGGTATCATGATGGGTATAATGGCTTCATATATTTCTAACCCAGCGTCACTTAATAATATTAATAATAACATCAAAATATGCATAGAAACTTTCTTTCTTAATTTCTGCAATGATCAGTTATCATTATTTGCACTGTTTATATTCGGAATATTGTCCGCATTTTTGTAGTTTTTATTACAACGTTTCGGTCGTTGTACCATCTGGCTTTCTCAGGTGTTTCGCGATCTGAGTAACCTACAGGGAATTCTGAATTGAATCTACGCAGTTAGACTGTTCATTGCTCATGTCTAGGAATATTGTTTAGTTCTTTGTTTATTTAGTACTAGCAGCATGGCCCGGCGTTGCCCGTGCTTGATTCAAAAATCGTACGAATCATACAGCAATCGCTATCACGTGACTTAAAATATTTTTGCCCTTCCTTGCCTTTAAAGGAGTGCCTTTTGCCGTGCTGATATTGCTACATGCCTTACTTTTTGCCTATCTCACACTGCGAATTTTTTCTAAGCTCTATACTAAACATTAAATCTGTTAAGAAAAAAAGAACTAAACAAAATGAACACAAAACGATTTAAAAAAAGGACTCGTAACTGGAAAAACCGAATGAAAAAAGAATGTTAACAACAAATACTTTTTCACACTCAACCCAGGTCTGCGGAATCAGAATCAACGTTGAGTTTAAGCAAGCGAATGAGCCAATTAGAGTAAAGTGCCATACAGATTTAAATTTTTCCCACTTTTGACGAATGAAGCTATCGATTATTTTTGCATGCTAGCATGGTAGTTAACATTCGTGTCAGTCAGCTGTTGGCTCTCACGCTGGTCAATAGAATCTTCCGGCATATTCATGGCAGCCAGCTATAGGCTCTCACTCTGGCCAGTAGAAAATGGCAACAAACTACATGAAATCTGCCGTAGAAACATGAAACAATCGATTATTTCCACTATCGATGGGAGTTGGGAAATGCAAGGTCAGTCTTGGCCTTCTGCTAACTTGGGGCATGTGCATGTAAATTTTGGTGGAAATCCTGCCTTTTATAGATAGAGATTCTCACCCGTTTCTATTGAGTGTACACACTGCCTGACCTAGTGATTGAACTCACAATCACTATATCACGAAATTCTCAAACCAACACTTTCATCTACAAGACCGTGAGACAATTTGCTGTAGTGAACTTAGTGCTTTATATCTAATTTGCCTGCTGGTTAGGCTGCTGCTGTCTGTCACGTTTTAATTGCTTTTAACTTCCCATGTTTCGATTGCTGCTGCTGCTCTTGTCATTGAAGATTTAGACCTTCTTTCTTTATTGGTAATTCCAATATTGTATTTATTTCTATGCTAGACCTACAAGGGAAGTCCTCGTCAATTAGCATATCGATTATTCTTTCATACGTCTAACTCACTAGTGTTCTTCCTTGTCCAGCATTTTCACTTCATTCCATAGGAGCTGATGAGTACCAATTTTCCTCCATACATGATCAGCTTTGCTCAATTCCATTGTTTCATTCCTTACTACGGCTTTTCGATGTTCCTCCAGCCTTACTTACCAGGCGGTTTGTTTCACTTTTCATATTCTCTGCTACAATTGCAAGGAACTATGTACACGCAATGTTCTCCCTCGTGTTAGGCTTTACCCAGCAGAAATTTCTCC